TTAAGTGAACTCTGATAGTTGGAGAGCCGGAACATTCCCTCTACTCATGATGTGCTTTAAATCTGCAGAAGCTGTTTAAAATGACCTTAGACCATTTCACCCAGCTGATATGCGGCTCCGGCTTTGCTGACAGCTACACTGGTGGAGATTCAACTTTTGTAGCCCAGCTCCCACTGAATAATCAATCAAATCTGTCTCATTTCCATCAGTAGGTCACTTCACCTCCAGAAACGATGCCTAAGGAGAGCAGGAGGCATGCAGTATCTCTTGGAGTACGCAGACACACAAGCTGTCATTTCCCAACTGCAGTTGTGCTGGGATGAGCTGTGCCTCTTCATCATTCCCTTTTTGCTACCGGTGAGCTGCTCTCATGCCTGTTCCCTGACAGTGACAGACTGAGACAGCCTCGTTTGGCTGTTCTGGCTGGAAAGGAGTGGCTGGGGTCTGCCAGCAGACTAGTACAGCCCTGCAAAGGGATGCAGGTTGGGGTGTGCAGGTACCAGGGACAACAACCTGCCACAGTGGTTATGTGATAGGTGAAGCCTGGGCACTGTGTGCAAAGGCTCCTCCAAGCTGTAGCATCTGCTCTGCCTATCATGGGCATTTCAGCAGCTCAAAGTCTAAATAAAACTTTAAGTGAAAGAAGAACAGCTCTTGAATGCAGTGCTGTGTGGTGTACCAGCCTTGCTCAGAGGAGATCTGCTGCATAGGGATGGCCTTATTTTGCTTCCTCTTGATCCCAGGGTGCAGTGGTGCAAGGCTTCTTTGAATTATTATTAAGCTGGTGATAAGAACATCATGCTCAATTTGCTGGCGTTCCGCTAAAATGTCACATACATGATTTATATGGAGGAAGGGATGAAAAGAGGGACACAATTATGAGGTTGACCCCACATAAATTAAGAACAACCCCATCCCCCCTCCCCCACCCCCCCCCCCCCCCCCCCAAAAAAAAAAAAAAAAAAGCCAAGTGATTTTTGTTGAGGTGGATTGGGTTACCAGAACAACACTGTACGTAGAAATGCAAAGGGAAGGGAAATGGGGACTGGATGTCAAAGTGCAGGCTAGGGGTGATGGGGTGGCAGCAGGAGCTGATGGGCTGGGATGGGGAGGAAAGAAAAAAAGGGGGCCCATGCAGTTACTCTTAGGGATTTGTACCAGGGAAAAACAGCCCCTGCACTGCACTGTGTGTACTGTGGCTGGGTTTTTATTTACCAGTGTATTAAGCAGAATGTTGACCTCTGAATGTGTGCACTGAAATGTGTCAGCAGAAGAAGGGAAAAGCAACTTACAGCTCCTCTGCTTAATGTGAGTTACAAGCAGAACAAGTGCTATTTGATGTAGGCTCTGTGTCAAAACTGGAATAAACCCAAATGCATTTCTGTCTTCACTGGCCTTCTCTCCACATGGTGCTTGATACTAAGGAAAGAGCAGGTAAATAGGAGCTGCTGAGGATGCTGATTGCCAGCCTGGAGAAAGCTGTGGAGGTGAACATATGCGATGCAGCAAAATCTGGGCCCTGCATGGTGCACTGTGAAGCAGCAGATGCAATGGGGTACAGCAGAGATGTTGAAGCACAAGACATTGTGTGGCTAGCTAAAGCTTGAGAGAAGGTTTAGCTGCTTTCCCTGCCACATGCATCACGTAGTTTTTTTTGGTTGCATCTCCGTGAGATGTGCTTGTTGTCTCTGTGAGGCTGATGGGGGTCTTAGTCCTGCTCCCAAAGGTGAGTTTGACGGTGACATTCTGTGCAGCCTGAAAAGAGCTGTGTTTCCCCACAGGCAGCCCCAAGAATAATCACAGAATAGTGACCTGCTGGGCCTTTGGCTACTGTGTGCTGGGCCCCACACAGCCTCTGAATGACTCTTTATCTCCCTGTGCCATGCACCCTGCTTGGCTAGGCTGGGGGCCTTGCATCATTCTTACAACACTTCTCAGCCTGACCTGTAATGCCCTTGGTTGTACAAACAGTCACATGAGTGAATGTTATTCATGTCTCATACAGAGCTTGCACTATGTCTTGGGCAGTGCATTACAAACTTTTAAAAAGAAAAGCGACGGAATAAAACCCACTCAGCTTTACTCCAGGGCCAGCATCCTTACTTCTTGTGCTGTGGCCAAGGAGGCTCCGACGGGGCTGCAATTTGTTGCTCACAATGCTCTCTGTGATTGACAGAGATGGAGAAAGCTTCCCTTCATCCAGCAGTGCCACAGCCGCAGTGCTGGCGGTACAGACAAGCACGTCCAGGAGGCTGCAGCCACCTCTGGGCAGGAGAACGCATCCTAGCACTCAGCTCTCCAGGGATCTTTGGGCTCTGTAGCCACTACCAGCAGCCAGGGATAGGAGAGATCCAAACTGTTCATCTTTAGCAGTTCAGCCTAGCCGAAAGCCCACTAAATGAGAGAAAACAACAAGCACGTGCATGTTAGCTCATTAAAATCTTAGCTGCAATTGAAACTCTTCTTCCCAAATTTGCATACTCTTGTTTATGTCTTTTAATATTAAGTAAAGCAGGCTTGATGCTAACTCAGACTAGCTTGGTGATAAATGGTGTGTGGAGAGACGTTTTATGGTGCCATCATAGGGTGCTTTATCCGTTGCCACTTGCAAGCTGCCAATTCCTTCCTTATTTATTTTCAGAATTAATGTTTACTGACTCCTTCCGTTCCCATTTCTCCAGCCAAACTGGGGAAGAAGAAATAGAAGCAGGTACAGGTGGTGGGGATGGATGGGACTTGGGCCTCCTTCCCCATGGGCTCTGGTTGGGGGTGGGTCTGCCAGCCAGTCCTGGAAGCTGATGAGTGAAAATAATGCTAAATAACGGTGAATAAGGGTGATAAATAGGGTGAGGGGAATGAAGGGTGTTCCACTGTGCCTTTCTGTCCTGACAGAGTGAAGGGATATGGAGGGCTGCAGCTCTATGAGGGGGAGATGTAGGAGAGCTCTGGGGGGTCAAGACAGCCCTGAGGGGCTGGGAGAGTCATGAAAGGAAGGAGTGCTGTGGGGTTTGGGAGCCATGGCGGGGCTGTGTTGGGGTTTGGTGATGTGTGGGCTGGGGCTGTACAGAGGGCAAGGCCTGGGGAGCTTCATTTCCCCAAGCTGGGGACATGCAGGCACGCTGCACTGTGGGCCTGAGTGCCACAGGGCTGATGGGAGGGCTGTGGCAGAGCTGAGCTGTTGTGTTTGTGGGGCAGCAGGGTTACCTGCAAAGCCTCCCTCTGTGTTGGGACGAAGCCCCATCCCACAGAGCCCTGCCCTCAAACGCTTGGGCCCTGGCTGTGGCTGGCTGCTCAGCAGCTCTGTTTCCTTACGCTCACTCAGAAACCTCGCAACAGCAGCTGCTGTCTTGTCTGAAGGTGTTTGCAGAGCCTGCTGACTAGGGGAGGCTGGTGCCTGGGACAGCTCATGCCACCTCCTCCTTGTGCACTGCCACCCTCTGCAAAATTGATGGGAATGCACAGGACAAATTGCTGCAATTAACCTCTGATGCACTGACTAATCGGCTGGCACAGCATCCAGACACAGCTCCTCTGAGCCTGGTGAGAAAAACTGGGGGGTAGTGGGCACTTGAGAGTACTGAATGTCCCCTTTTCTCCCCTCCCCATGGGCACACACTTGGGTTGGAGGGCCTGAGTGCTTTTATTTTGCTAAACCACTTTGAAGTGGAAATCAAATGGCACGTCTCCCTCTTCCCTCCAGCTCCCCTTAGCCCTCCTGGTTTTAATTAGCTCCATCTGATGTTTAGAGCTTTCCAAGAAATAAATATGCTCTTAAACAAGTGGAAAAAAAAATGGTGGCAGAGCATGGGGAGCTGTCTCACCAATGTGCAGGCTGACAAGGGACACGTGGTGAGCGCAGCTCCCCAGGCTCAATTGCCCCCTTTGGCTGAGGAGCCAGCCCTGCTGTGTACGTGCCCAACGTGCATCAGCTGTAGTTTGCAGCCAGGTACCTATGGGTGGTGTGAGATGAGAGAAAGAAGCATTGGCACGATGCTGTGCTTGCTAAACAGGCTTCCGTGTTCTTTCTTCTGCTCTTCCATCCCTCTGTGCTTTCTGTCTCTAAATCAGTTTCTCAGTCTTGGTTGAAAGAAGTAGTATTGCAATAGCATATCATAGGCATTTCTGGCTGTATACAAAAACCTTTGCTGCGAAAGACCTGCAGAGCATGTGTCCGTACCTGTTGGATGTTAAAATATTAAGTCCCAACTCAGTGCTGACAAGGGATAAGAAGAAAAGGATGCCACAGTCTTGTAGAAATAGTGACAACCAGAGTCCCGTGAGACAAAAGGCTCAACACACACTTCATTGCTTCTGTTCTCCTCTCTCTGTACCCCTGCCGTTCCTATGCCACATACTGTCCTCAAGTCAGGGTCCCAGGAGGATTTCATTCCACATAGGTTAACTTTTTCTTTGGTTTCCCTTGTTCTCCAGTTAAACAAAGCTAAGTAGTCTTAGCAGTGTTTGCTCTTTTGCATTGGGAAATGGTGAGTTGGTGTAGATCCCTCTTATCTTGTAATTAATCTGCTGCTATCTTCAGCCCTAGTTGCCAGGTATTATGTTGCAGCATGGCTGTGAATGTGGATTAGGTCAGTGAGTTTGTTGCAGCTGCACCTCCTGCTCCTGTCTGTGCTGCAATGAAATTGCAGACTGTCTGACCACGGCCTGGGCTTACCTTGCAAGGGAGAGAACAGCAGCCTTCCTCCTCTGCCATGCAGGGACAGGACCACGTACAACCAATACTAGCCTCAGTTCTTGGGAGAACTCAGCTCAAACCCCCAACGTGAAGCAGGTAGAACCTCTGAATTTTGGTTATACCAGCCAGGACCGTACCCCAAAAAGTGCAGTCATGAAGAATCCACCTTTATGTGCCTTGGAAGCCTCCCTGACTGAGAAGGCAGGGCTGCCAAGCAGCCAGGAAGGGGTTAAGGGGCAACTGGACCCGGGGCTTTGCAAGCTTAAAAGGAAGGGGCGGGAGGGGTCCTTTCTTCCCGTGATGGAGGGAAGACCGGGAGGTGCCTGCGGCTCAGTAGAGCTGGAGGTCAGCGCGGCTTTTTGCATGCCGAAGTTCCAGCAACCTGCTGGCAAGACTGCTGTGAGCCATGGTCTGAGTCTCAGGTACTACTGCGCTTCTGTTCTCCTTTTGTGAACGACTAAGCTTGCAAAAAGCCCAATTTTCTCTGTTGCTTTGTCCGTCCCTGAGAGGCTGGTTCCAAGTAAATACAGTGGTTTTATCTGGAGTAAATACGTATGCTGTGTGCAAACTGCGCGTTTTGCTGGAGGGCCCAGGGGAGCTGCAGCATTGAAGAAATCCCAATTTCAGGTGTTATCTTTGTTTGTTCTAATTGGCTGATACTGTATGTAAGTGTGAGCCAACCTGACTCCTGGTGAAAGAGGTATAAATCTCCTTAAGAGATTGTCCAGTAACTCCCCTTAGACTAGCAGCAAATTGGGCCTTTCAAGACTTGCTATCTCCCTTTCAGCTTTATACCTTTATGCATTTTGTATATTTTGTGTTGACAATCTCTGTTAGTCCTGGGTGGGAGCCTTTGCTTTTTTTTCTCTTTACCTTGCCAAGCACAAAACCCCTCAGATGCTAGAAGTCTGCTGGAGCCCCGCTCAATTATCACCCTGAAGTGATTTCCTCCTCCAGAGAACTCTTCTGCTCTCAAGTATGATGATGTGGTGTCACATCAGTGAGAGTTCTGCAGCTGTGACTCCAGCTGCTCTTCCCTGGACAGTGACCTGTCTGAGTGATTAAAAAAATACATGGAGCAACAACTGTATTTACGGACTCAGTCTGTGTTTTAACCACATCCGACAGATTGGGAGGAGGAGACGAGGCTCTAAGAGCAGTATTTCAGAGCATGTTTCAGAGCATGGATCTGTGGGAAAGATGAATGTGAATTATGTTCATGCAGTGCCATAAAATGTATATTAGTTTAATATGCAAAACCAAGGAAACGAATGAACTCTCAGAATGTTTCATGTTTTTATGGTGACACATTGCCATTTTACTCCCAGGTCTGGTTCAAGGCCTGGACTTTCCTCTCTGAAGCCTTGAGAGTCAAGGTGGGTTTGTGAAGGGGATAGGTTTTTCTCTCAATTTGTGCTTGTGCTGACAGCTTGCAAATAATGACTCAGTGCATTCACGGTTAATTAAAGGCAACCTGTGCTGGTATTGAAAACGCAGCCAGCTAATGAGGAAATACAAAAAACTCCTGTTTAACAACTTAGGGATTACTATACTTCTTTTTATTTTGCACTTCTTCCTCCACCTTGAACTTTGATGTTAAGAAAGAGCAGTGTTTCAAGCAGTTTTGACTCAGATCTTTAGATCTGAAAGTAGACAGCATAGTCTGGACACAGTGATACATGATACAGTGTCTTTGGGCTGTCAGAGGATGCAGGCTCCCACCTGTCTCAGTGTTTGGCATACGAGTGAAGAGAGGAATAGAGGGTGGTGCACTGCTGCACCAGTGGAATGAATTGAAAACTTGGAGGAGTGTCCAGTGGATGTCAGCATTTACAATGCAGCAGTCTGCTTGTTCCTTATATAGATATGCTTGGGTGTTTCATGGCCCCTCGAGAGCTTCTTGCAGCTTCCTTTAGTTCTTTTCCCACAGGTGGTGGGTATTGCAACACAGACCATAGAATAAGGGCCAGGTGTCTGAAGTCTGTTCTCCCTTGAGGTAGCCCTTCCACCAGAACGGACTGACTCTGAGATATTCCCCTGATGTTATTCTCCTTTTGAACATTTATAATTGTATCTAAATATCTGTGTTAAAACAGGTTGCTGGAAGGTCTGAAGAAGTTGTGTTGTATTTTCTGGGGGGGTATTGCTTAAAACTAGACAGGCTGAGTCTGTCAGAATCAGGTGCACCCAGGTTTTGAAAGAGCTGTGTGTAGTTTTAAAAGGTGCAAGAGAATAGGGAGGCACTGTAAAGCTCAGCTGGAGGCTGCTGACCTAAAATCTGTGCTGGTGAGAAGACTTACTGACATTGGTGAAAAAAGTGCAAGGAGAACGGAGCCACTGGGGGGCTTTGAAACGTTATTTTTCCTGCAGAAGACTGGATTAGTGAGCTGCATCTTGAAACATCTCCACTGCGTGCTTTGTGCTTTGTCCTGGCTGTGGCTTCAGTCTTCCTCCAGTTGCTGGTTGTTCACTGTGCTGCTGTGCGTTTTCCTTCTGTTTCTACAGTGCTGCAGTTAGTGCTTTTGTCCTAGAGCATTGCTTAGGGCAATGATGTACCGGTCTTTGCAAATACCTTTACGGTGCTTTTGTTGTAAGCTTTTAGTTGTTTGGATGTTGCCTTTGTGGGTGTGCAGTGCTGCTGAATGCAGAGCAGCCAGAGAGATGCTGTGTACCGTTGTTTCTCATCAGCTTTGACAGGTCTTGGCATCTCACTAAGGTTGAACCCACGGTGATTAGCACTAGCCATTAAAAATGAAACGTATGTGATGATGCTTGTGCTTTGATCAGCCCCTGGTGCTGCTCGAGTGTATTGGCTCCAGATATGAGGTCTCAGGAATTTTTCCATGACCTGCTGGTCTTAGCACTGTGCCTCCATCTCCACCCTCCTGGCCTTGTATGTGTTTTGAACATGCTTCCCTCTCCTCCCTCTCTTTTTCCTTGTTCCTCCCTCCATGCAGATTCTCTTTGCTTTCTTCCTGTTAAACATCTTCTGAATGATACAACCTCCCCAGTATCTTGCAGCTATCAGGGCAATTTGGGTAGAAATTGCAAAGCTTTTGATAAAAGATGACTCAACAGAATTGGACTGTTTCAGGCATCAATTAGCTGAATTTGTTAATGAAAAGTTACCTATGCAACTGCAGTTTTGTCAGAATACTGTATTCAAGTGTTGATTTCAGCTGCTTTGATGGTGAAAATGTTGGCGAGATAATTCAGAGTATTCAAAGTAGAACAGAGCCAAGTTTAGAAATCTGTTTCACTGAAGATGATATTTATTTCTCCATCAGCTGTATGATCTATTCAAGCTTTTGCCGAATTTCATTTTTTGGATGAAGTGAGATGCTCTAGTAAATGCAGACTTCTGTAGGATGTAGCATTCAAATCACAAGCTTTGTTACACTTAATTTAAGGTGAAGTCTTAAGATTCAGGCAAATTAAAGCGAAAGAGTTGAAATGGTATTCACACTCCGTATGCCACTGCCAATTCCCTGCATGTTTGTGGTCACGATTTCTTAAATATTTTCTCCTTGGAAGAGGCATGCAATCTATTGATTAGGGAAGTTGGAATTCCCTCTTTGGAAAGCATTCTCTAATAGATTATCGTGGCATGCTGTTCTGTATTTCTGATTCCTTTCAATTGCAGTAGTAATTTAACATTTTTCTCTGACAGTGCTGGGCAAATATCTGTAGATGTGCATGCTTGCTGTGGTGGTCGATATCTCTAATCCTAAACAAAGCTCTTAAGACTCAGGGTTTTGGATTTTCATGGAAGTTACTTGTTCATTGTGTTTTATTTAGCTGTAATTTAAGAGCAAGCCCTGTGAATCCGAGCTCAGGAAGTTGATGCTCTATCCTTTAGCAAGGAAGTACACGATTGCTGTGACAGAGCATCCTGTGTGTAATTAAGCACCAGAGCTGCGCTGTGCTCTGCGTTCCCCAGGTATAACCTTGTAAGGCAGAGCTCTTAAGCACGTGCTTGACTTTAAACACACGAGTGGTTACACTGAATTAAACGCTCCGACTATGGGCTTGAAGTAAAGCACTTACTTAAGTGCTTGGTGGGACGGAGCTTAGAAGATTTCCATAAATCAGAAATGATTGCATTCCACCTTTTGGCCCTGCAGAAATCCATTTTAAGTCCTCGAGTGTATGCATTTTCCTACATCATCTGTGCCACTGAGCTGTCCTGAAGGCAGAAGCACAGAGGGTGTCTCATAAGCAGCCTCAGCAGAGCGTGGGGATGCTGAAGAAGTTCAGATTTAAACCGGGCATCTATTCTGCTGCTTCTGCATGCAGTTATCACGAGTCCTCAGTGAGGACTGACTCTCAGGGAAGAAAGGAACTCTTCTGCGAAGCCCTTCTCTGGGAAAAACGTGTCCTCCTGCCTCAAAGCAGCGTTGCGCTGTACTGTTTCAGAAGTGTTTATAGAAACATCTTTCGCATATTCCTGCAGGCTGCGCTGGGAGATGTGAAATCCTTTTCCTTTCATGAAAAGAAGCGGTGCAGGGGGAGCAGGAGGTGACTGGTTAGCTTTGCAGCTCAGCTGGTAGACTGCCTGGAAATGAGCCAGGAGGCCTGGGTTCAGTCCTCCGATAAGTCATCAATTTCTTTCTCACCAAAAACATCTGGTTTTGGATGCTGAGTTATGAGCTAATATTAAATACAAAAGTTTATAGCATCACATATATAATATTGTTGATTAGAAGCATCAAGTAAAGTAATTGACCAGAGGGGACTTGGTGTGAGCAGCTGGTAGAGCATCTGGAGGGGAGCCAAGGGGCCTGGGTTTAATTCTCAGGTCATCTATTTCTTTCTCACCAGAAACATCTGGATTTGGATGCAGCAAAGCTACAGGCCATTGTCTTGTGCAAATGTTTTTGGGATCACACGTTCACATGGAAATGTGATTCCAGGAACGTTTCCATTAAGTGTTTACACCCAGAGAATCCTGTAGGAGTGACGAGGAAAAGGTTCTGTGTCCTGTGCAAATCAAAAGCAAATCTCGCTTCTATGGAGCTGTGACTTTTGTCTGTGTTATATACAGAGCCCATTTTGAGTAGCCTGAAGCACACATTGTGTGAACCTGGAAAACTGACACAGCTCTAAAATGCAGTGAATGAAGGTGACTTGTTTGCCTGTGTCACTGGGTGCCTGTGGCTGCCAGGGTGCTGTGCAGGGGATGTGGGGTTGGAGGTGTCCCAGGTGGATGTGATTTGAGACTGGTGTTGCCCAGCTCAGCTCTGTGGGCACTAGGTGTCAGAAGAGGCTCACACTTGTGCTGGCTGAAGCCTGGTTTGCTCTGTTGCAGGGGGTGGATGGAGACCCTGGCCTCTCTGGGTAAACCCAACCTGAAGGCATAGGAGGCCAGTGCCTAACAGTGGCCTTTTAGTTGTACTGCAGAGTCCTGACCCAATCTCCCAGA